GAGCTCGGCTGTTCTCAGTGGTACCAGATGACCGAACAAGGAGTAATGGTCTCAAGTTGCAGGGGCGGAGGTTTAGGTTGGATATTAGGAAAAACTTTTTCACTAGGAGGGTGGTGAAGCACTGGAATGCGTTACCTAGGGAGATGGTGGAATCTCCTTCCTTAGAGGTTTTTAAGGTCAGGTTCGACAAAGCCCTGGCTGGGATGATTTAGTTGGGGATTGGTCCTGCTTTGAGCAGGAGGTTGGACTAGATGACCTCCTGAGGTCCCTTCCAACCCTGAGATTCTATGATTCTATGATTATCTCTAGCAATTGCATGGAGGGAGAGAGCAGAACAGGTCTCTCTACAGGTCTCTAAACAATTACAGCAAGCATTTATACCTTTTGTTACATACAATAATGGGCGACAGCTGCATTTTGTTTATACATCGGTCATCCTGATATCTTATTTTCTTGCACAATTTAGACTATAGTCTCCATTCCATACTTATCTAACACAAGGTCACAACAACTTCTCATACAGTTCTTTCCCACTCGCCTCACACAATCCTCGCTTCTACAAATCTCGCGTTATTAGGGTTACAGCTAGCCTGACTCTTGCTCACATAAGGGGACTGTTTGAATGTGGAATCCCCTTCAGATCCCTGTCAGTTCTTTCTCTACTTCCACAACGTGCTGTATGGTGAAGGCTCTGTGTTTGTCACGGAAGTCACAGACTCCGTGACTTTCCATGACCTCTGTGACTTGTGCAGCAAACCCTTGCGGCTACCCCAGGAGCGGCCTGAGCAGCTCGGGCAGCCCCCGGGTCAGTCGCTGGGGCAGTCTCGGGGGCCTCCCACCCCCCAGCAGCAGGAGTTTGGGGAGGGGCTTGGGGTTGAGGCTGCTGCTTACCTGGGGGGCTCCTCTCCCTCAGCTCTCCTAGTTCCCCATTCTGCCTCTGCCGGCACCCAGGCACCGCCCCCACAGCTCCCATTGGCCGCGGTTCCCAGCCAAGTGGAACTGCAGAACTGGGGCTTGGGGCGGAGCGGAGGCAGCTTGTGGAGCTAGGGAGCTGCCACTTTCCAGGTGCTGGGTGGGAAGCCTGCCCCGCCCCCCCAAGCTCCATCCCTTAGCACCTGCACCCTCCCCTCAGCCGCAACTCCCCCCCAGCACCTGCGCCCCCCTCCCCAGCACCCATGGTGCTTCCCTGGGCTGCAGCCCCCTCCCCAGCACCCGCGGTGCCCCCCCCCGAGCTGTGACTCCAGTTTCCAGGGAGTTGTCCTGGGGGGTTTGTGTTGAGTTGTGTCTGGGTTATGCTGGGGGATGTGTTGGGCTGTGTCTGGAAGTGTTGTGCTGAGAGATTTGTGATGAGTTGCTTTGGTGTATGGATTGCACTGGCAACTTCATGTTAAGTTGTTTGGGTGGCAAATCAACATTTGAAGAACTTGGCAGTTGGGCCAAGTAACCCACCATCTGTGTTGTCTCCTTCATATCACTGACTCATTACAACTAATGAACTTGTTTCATTCAAATTAACTGTAGCATAAGGATGGTGATTGGTTGAGTTGCTCCTCATATCATAAATGTCTAGGACTCTGGGCATGTGTGACGGGGCACACTCGCCCCGCACTGGGTGGGGAAGGGTTAACCCTACATTGTGGGCTGAGGAAACCACACCCCCGCCACTGTACAGGGCATGCTCCAAGTGGCACTAGAAAAGGTTCAGAAAAGGGCAACTAAAATGATTAAGGGTTTGGAACGGGTCCCTATGAGGAGAGATTAAAGAGGCTAGGACTCTTCAGCTTGGAAAAGAGGAGACTAAGGGGGGATACGATAGAGGTCTATAAAATCATGAGTGATGTGGAGAAAGTGGATAAGGAAAAGTTATTTATTTGTTCCCACAATATAAGAACTAGGGGTCATCAAATGAAATTAATAGGCAGCAGGTTTAAAACAAATAAAAGGAAGTTCTTCTTCACGCAGCGCACAGTCAACTTGTGGAACTCCTTGCCTGAGGAGGTGGTGAAGGCTAGGACTATAACAGCGTTTAAAAGAGAACTGGATAAATTCATGGTGGTTAAGTCCATTAATGGCTATTAGCCAGGATGGGTAAGGAATGGTGTCCCTAGCCTCTGTCTGTCAGAGGGTGGAGATGGATGGCAGGAGAGAGATCACTTGATCATTGCTTCTTAGGTTCACTCCCTCTGGGGCACCTGGCATTGGCCACTGTCGGTAGACAGGATACTGGGCTAGATGGACCTATGGTCTGACCCGGTACGGCCGTTCTTATGTTCTTATGTTCAAATGCACTAGTATAAAAGGGAGCAGCTCGGCTCAGTTGCTGCTGACCGCTGTGGGGAAGGATGCATGCATGCTGCTGGCTCCAGCCAAGGATCAGCTGAAGCCAGAGGCTGTGGGAGCTGGAGATGCCGCAACCCAGGCAGACACCAAGGTACCCAGGGAGGCCTTGCTGAGTCTGGAGTTGCTGGGGACAACACAGACTGGGGAACCCGGAGATGGCAGAGAGGCCCAGACTGCAGCAGTGGGAACGATGTAGGGAGCAGCCCAGGGCAACTGGATAGTGACCTGGGATGTTGAGTCAGAACCTGCCTGCTGACTGTGGCATGTGCCCTGGGCTGGGGTCTGGTGCAGAGGGAGGGCCTGGACCCCCTACCTGGGCTGCCACCCACATTTTTGTGCATGGTGGCCCCCTTCCTGACTGAGACCACTGGCCACCACTGCCCTGCTAACTGGGGTGAATGTACTGACTGGCCACTAGGCCATTCTGCCCTGCTAAGAGGGGCAAATCTATGGACTCTGGCCTAGGGTGAGGGGTTGCCAGCTTTCTATTGGCACAAAACTGAACACCCTAGCCCTGCCTGTTCCCTGAGGCTCTGCCCCCTGCTCCACCCCTTCCCTGAGGCCCTGGCCCCTGCTCACTACATTCCCCCTCCTTTGGTGGCTCGCTCTGCTCAACCCTCACTCACACGGGGGGCAGGGGGTGGGGGCAGGGTTCCAGCTGGGGGTGTGGGCGCTGGGGTGGGACTGGGGATGAGGGGTTCAGGGTGTGGGCAGGGGGTTGGGGTGTGGGAGGGGGTGAAGGCTCTTACTGGGGGTGAGGGCTTTAGGGTGGGGCCATAAATGAGGGGTTCAGGGTGTGTGTGGGGGGCTCTGGGCTGGGGCAGGTAGTTGGGGTGTGGGAGGGGGTGAGGGATCCAGCTGGGGATGAGGGGTTTGGGGTGCAAGAGGGGGCTGTGGGTTGATGCAGGGGGTTGGGGTACAGGAGGGGGGTGAGGGCTCTGGGGTAAGGCTGGGAATGAGGGATTCAGGGTGTGGGAGGGAGCTCTGGGCTGGGCAGGGGGTTGAGGTACAGGGGGTGAGGGCTCTGGGGTAAGGCTGGGAAGTGAGGGAGTTCAGGGTGTGGGAGGGAGCTCTGGGCTGGGGCAGGGGGTTGAGGTACAGGGGGTGAGGGCTCTGGGGGTGCAGGCTCTAGGGTGCAGGAGGAGGATCTGGGTTGCGGGGGGCTCAGGGCAGCAAGTTGGGCTGCAGGGGGGTGAGGGCTCTGGGATGGGAGTGTGAGCTTTGGGGTGGGGCTGGGGATGAGAGGTTTGGGGCGGGGGGGGGCTCTGGGTTGGGGGAGGACTCAGGGCAGGGGCAAGCGGTTGGGGCTTAGGGCTGGGGCACTGGCTTGCCTTGGGTGGCTCCCGGTCAGCGGGGCTAAGGCCGGCTGCCTGCCTGTCCTGGCTCCGTGCTGCACCCCAGAAGCAGCCAGCAGGTCCAGCTCCTAGGCAGGGGGGTGGGCTCGAGGCTCTGTGGTGTGTGCTGCTCTCGCCGGCAAGCACCGCCCGCCCCTCCCCCCGCTGGTCACCCTACACTGGGCTGCACTGCCCTACCTCACCGGGGCAAATTTACTGACTGTAGCTGCTAGGCCTTACTGCCCTGACAACTGGTGCAAATCTACTGACTCCGGCTATTGGGCCACACTGCCCAGCTATTAGGGGTGAGTAAATTGAATTTGGCCATTAGGCCTCATTGCCCTGCTAAGAAGGGCAATATATTGACTCGTGCTAAGGAGGCATAGACATAGGTTAGTTACGTATGCCCCAACCTCTACACCCTAAGAGAGACGGGGAGCACTTGCCCCGCACTGGACGGGGTCTCTCCCACCCCTTCACAGCATGGCATAGATGTACGCCTTTACTGTTTTATAGATGCCAATTCATTGGCAAAAGTATAGGATGCCTTTAGCCAAGAGCTGATCCTTGCAGGACCCCACTAATAACCTCAGTCATTGATAATTCCCTGTTAACAATTCTCTTTGAGATCAGTCACCAATATGGATCATGTGCGAATGGTGGTTTTGCTCACCTGAATGACTTTCATGGGGAAAGGCATCGCTCTCACTCTAGGACTTTGTAAATTCCAACTTCCACTTCCATTCCCCTAACAGAGCAGAGGGCCTTTACAAAATGGCTTGGAAAGTTTGTTTTTTAAAACAAAAACAACCACCTGGTGTTCACTTACCACCTTCTCAAAAACGGCTGAGCAACTTTGCTCAAACTTTCCAGAAAATTGACCTGTGGCAAGTGTGGAAAATTTCAGACCTTACAGTTTGGCAACTGAAAACAAAAGTTTCTAATGGGAAGTGTCAGGCAATCTTATCCAGAGGTGCTGATCTTGCCCCATCCATCAGCTTCGTTTTTAGGGGAGTGCGGTGAGGCTGATCCCCACGCCAGTCCGAGAAGAGTTAAAGAACTCCGGTCAGCCTCAGCCTGCTAGACCTGTGAGGCCTGTCAAGCCTGGAGATGGGGGGGTCCCTAAAAGGGAGGATCCCTGCTCAGTGCAGGGGGGCCCTCTGAAGGAGCAGGAGTGCAGCGCAGAGCCCTTTGGCCCCTGGCAGCAGGGATTGCAGACCAGGGGAAAGGTTTGAGAGCCTCGTCCACCTAGGCCCCCTCAGAAAGGAGAAGTGCCAGGTTGTTTCTCTTTCTTTGGCTTCCCCAAGGTCTCAGCATGTTTCTGCAGCCCACAAAAAGCATAGTCTGGCTTTCTGCTTTCACAAAAGGGGGCTGACGCCTTGAACAAAACAGCTGTGGGGCGGTGCCCTGGACTCTGAGACAGGAGCAGTGGCACCCTTTCCCTGAGGGGTGCTAGAGACGTATATAGTCTCTCTATAGAGACGTATATAGAGGTAGTGCTATTTGGTTAACAGTGTATTTGTTCCAATATATTGACAATACTCAGAAATGGGAGGTGATGGTACCTGAATACACTTTTGCATAAATCCGGCTTTATTGAGATAATATCTTAAATGTGTACAACTTGCCCTTTCACCATTCAGAGAAACCAGAAAGAGAATCAATGATCTGTATGATAAAGAAATGGAAGAATCACAAAACTAGGCACCAGTAGGCAGCCTACAATCACTAACTTGTAAATCTGCACTCGTGGGCTTCAATTCAGTCTGGACGTTTTTAGCTAGTGTTATCAGCTAATCCTAGTTCTTTTAGCAATGGCCACTTGCAAGCTAATGACAGCGTTGGAAGTTTTTCCAAATGGAAGAAAATCTACACAAACACAGGCAAAATGACGGCAGGTAGTCACAGAGCGAGGCCGTGCCTTCCAGCCAGTCACAGAGCGAGGCCGTGCCTTCCAGCCAGTCACAGAACGAGTCCGTGCCTTCCAGCCAGCAAGCGTCAGTAGTGGGTTAGACTGAAAGTAGTGAAGAGTCTTTGCCAGCAGCATCCTCAATCCAGCCCTCCAGGGAAATCTCAACTTCCATCAGACGGAGTCACTGGATGCTTGTTCTGTGGGGTGAAAGGGGCAAGGGGTTAATAAAGCAGAGACGGCTCCTGGGTGGCTGGGATTGTCCTGGACATGAAATTTCCCCTGAAATATTGTGTATTCTGTCTCTGAGTGAAGCAGTTTTTGGTGTTGAACATTCAGCACCGGTAATTACCCAGGTCATCCCATTCACCTTTTTAGAATATTGGCAGAATATTGGCTTTCCCCCTAGTCCTCTGGGACTTTCCCATTCTTTCTAGTATTGTTAAAAATTAAGATCAATGGCTCAGAATGCTTCTTGGCCAATTCTTTTGGAACTCTAGGATGCAAATTCTCTGGTTCTGCAGATTTAAAGAAATTTCTCTTTAGCAGGTGTAGTTTCACATCTGCCTAGTTGCTGTTGGAATAAAAGGGATATCACTGGCCCTGTAAAACACGATTGCATCATCCAGCTTCTTTTCAATCTGATGTTAGGGGGCCCTTTAATCTACTGGACAAAGGCATTACAAGGCCCAGTGGCTGGCAGATGAAGCCAGACAAATTCAAACTGGCAATAAACTCTAATGGTTAGCAGTGAGGGTGATCAACTACTGGAGCAGATTACCAAAGGGTAGGATGGAATGTTCACCTCACTGGCACCTTGCTTTCTCCCGGTCCCTGGAGCGCTCAGCTCCTGGGGACTGAAATGCTTTAATTTAACCCAAGTGATTAGGCTCAATATAGGGATTACTGAGTGTAATTTAGTGTCCTGTGCTATATGGGGGTCAGACGAGATGATCAAGGATCCCTCCTGCCCTTAAAGGCTATGAACGACTCCAGCTTTCAATCCAGTTTGAGTGTCTCTTTCTAACAGTTATGCTCTAGCTCAATCACAATGTCTTGGTGTCAGTACAGGACTGGTTGGGTAATGGTCTCTGGCCTGTGCTATGCAGGAGGTCACACTAGAGGGTGAGGAGGGTCTCGTCTGTCCTTACACCTCTATGAATGGGGCACAGTTAGGAGCAATGGGCTGAAATTAAGGGAAAGATTAAGCTGACAGCTCTTCTGCCACCATGCAGACGGGCAAGGCTCAGTTCAGCATCACATGAGGCAATTGGGAGACCAAGTGAGACGGTGAGGGCTGAAGTGTCAGCAGTACACAGGTGATACCCAGCTCTGCTCTCCTTTATACCACCAGGAAACACCACCACCTTTCGGGTTTCTGTGACAGGGTGTACTTGTCCCGCACTGGACAAGGAGGGGTTAACCCCACACTGTGGGCCAAGGAAGCCACATCCCCTGGCCCCTGCTGGGCATGCTTCAACTGGAGTACTTGTATAAGGGGGCAGCCCAGCTCAGTCAGGGCTGACTGCTGAGGAGGAGGACACAGGCTTGCAGGTTCCCACCCGGGAGCTGCTGGAGGTGGAGCCCGAGACCATGGAGGCCAAGCCCAACAGGATCTGGACGGATACTCAGCTACTCATGGACACCCAGGAGATGTCCGAACCGCTGGGAACTTTACAGGTCAGAGACCCGGGAAATCCAGAGATTGTGCCACTGGAAGACACGGTGAGAAGTAGCCCAGGGGAACTAGACATTGATCCAATTGTTGGACTGGCTCAATGAAAATGATCAAGGGGCTGGGGCACATGACTTATGAGGAGAGGCTGAGGGAACTGGGATTGTTTAGTCTCCAGAAGAGAAGAATGAGGGGGGATTTGATAGCAGCCTTCAACTACCTGACGGGGGGGTTCCAAAGAGGATGGAGCTCGGCTGTTCTCAGTGGTGGCAGATGACAGAACAAGGAGCAATGGTCTCGAGTTAACACAACTCCACCAAGCAGTGCTAACATGCCCTCATGTTATAGTGAAGACAAGCGGGAGCCTATGGGGCAGAGGGGAAGATCAAGGTGG